AGCAAAATCGCATATCAGCCGAGCATACACCCAGCAGCGCTGCTGATGCCTGAACGGTATGTGGAATGAAGTGGGCGGGCATCGGGAGGCCACTATGGCACGGGGCAAGCACTATGGGCAGTCTATCTGAAGTGTACCTGGCGTATAAGATGACCCCCCACTTGGAGGCATATTTTTCAGGGCCAAAAAATCGTCTTATACGCCGGCAAATACGGTATGTGCCCTGACTGGGACTCAAACCTGCAACCTTTTGGTGTCGGGGACAACTCTCCAACCAAGGGAGCCCCCTGGCCAGGGCATTGTGTTTTAAAATCAAATGAGATAACACCACTCTTGACACATTAAGAGTGCCCAATTAATAATTGGTTCACTTATTTTTTTTTTTTTACTTTCTATACAAAGAGCTTTAAAAGCTAATAAATACTGAGTCACATGGTTGTTTCAAATGATTACAATAGAGTCAGCTTCACCAAGTCATATTCATTTTAGTAACTGGGAAAGGTTATATTTGAAATAGGACAGATAAACATTTATCTTAATGTAATAAAAGGCAGAATTTAGCATTGGGACAGAAAGGAATTTCAGAAACCCTTAGATCTGATTTTTTTTCCTTTTAATAAAAAAAACACAGGCTCATTTATCTGAGTTCACATTTATCTGAGATTAAGCCTCCCAGTACATCTGAGACCTTTGCCATTTTTGCTCCGTAATTACTATCTTATTTGGAACAGGTCCACACTGTTTTGCTATCCTGGAATCAAACACCTTTGAAGTTGGAGCAACCTCACAAGGGAAATAATGGTTATTTAAATATTTCTTCACCTTTTCTATTTCCTCACTATAACCTATATATATAAAAGGCTAATATTCTGTGTCTGACCATCCGACCAGTCGCTATGATGCGCACTGATCACCAGAGGGCAGATGCTCAACCCAGGAGCTGCTGAGCTGTAGTGACTTGGCAGCAGCAGTTCTCGGGGGACGCATCCGAAACCAGAGAGGAGGGAGCCCGATTCCTCGTGGGGCTGCGTGATTCCACCTTCGGCCGTGGGTTATGTTGTTGCTGGGGCACTGTCGGCCCCAAATCTGGCTTACTGCACA